GTATTACACTAGGACTGTATTGCACCAGGACTGTATTACACTTGGGCTGTATTGCACCAGGACTGTTTTGTACTAGGACTGTATTGCACAAGGACTGTATTACACTAGGACTGTATTGCATCAGGACTGTATTACACTAGGACTGTATTGCACTAGGACTGTATTGCATCAGGACTGTATTACACTAGGACTGTATTGCATCAGGACTGTATTACACTAGGACTGTATTGCACCTGTACTGTATTTCACTAGGACTGTATTGCATCAGGACTGTATTACACTAGGACTGTATTGCACCAGGACTGTATTGTACTAGTACTGTATTGCACAAGGACTGTATTACACTAGGACTGTATTGCACCAGAACTGTATTGTACTAGGACTGTATTGCACCAGGACTGTATTAAACTAGGACTGTATTGCATCAGGACTGTATTACACTAGGACTATATTGCTCCAGGACTGTATTGTAATAGGACTGTATTGCACCAGGACTGTATTGTACTAGTACTGTATTGCACCAGGACTGTATTACACTAGGACTGTATTGCACCAGAACTGTATTACACTTGGGCTGTATTGCACCAGAACTGTATTGGACGAATACGAAGCAACTACTGACCACCACCTTGCTGTTGTACCGTACACCCCCAAGACATTGAACAATAGGGCTGTACCATCGGCCCCACTCTATAACACGCGCTGTGTGTTTTGCATGCAGGCTGCCAGTTATGTGCGAAGGCGTAAGTGGACACGGGTCAGGCGGATGATCTTGTCGTCATACGATGTAAGCTTCAGAACGCCGTGTGTGCATGTGCTCATTAAGTGTGTTGCGAGTAATCGGTGAACAAGTATGTATGCTACCCCATGCGCTGTAGACGGGTTATTTGTGCATCCCGTATGTAGAACCTCGGTGTTCTGGATTGGTTACACTCGTTTCATATATCTGGAGGTACTTATGTGAAGCTGTCTAGTTAGCTTTATGCGTAGGAATCGCAGGTTGGATTATGTTACGAGCATGCCATGTGTACTATGGCGATGGTAATTGGTTGTTGAGTATGCTGATGCGTGTTTGTCCCGCACGAGTGACACCGGAGGTATCTATCAGAAGGTGCCTATAGGCCCTCCTCAGAAGAACTTTGTGCATATCCCGCCGAGATATTATGGATTGATTTCTTGGAACTACGCAAACGTGACAAATGTTATATAAAAATACGTATTGTCTTGTTCATTGTATCCTTCTAGACTGCTGGTCAATCGGCCTTGGAGAAGTGTTTAGCAATCAGAGGTTATGATCTTGTGTTCTATGCATTAGCAATCAGAGGCTATGATCTTGTGTTCAACTGTGTATTGGTGTACACCACCAAGCCTTAAAGTGTGGTGGCGCGGTGAGCGACCACTGCGTATCTATCAGGGCTGCGAATGTATGCCACAGATCGATCACATCACTTCCCCATATGCACACTCCTGGAGGCAATTCCGGGCTTATTGGGCAGCCTGTATGACTCATTTACCTACTCTAGATAACAAACTCAATCTTGGCCTATTTGTTTATGAATCGTGTTTCATGGCTAACGTACACGTGCGCGTACTAATGCCGTATATACTCCGTCATGCATGCAGAGCTCTAAGGATATCGGTTCGAACGGCCTGTCGCGTTATGCATCGCAGATTGATGTAGCCTCAAAGTCTGACCGTGGTATGCTTGCACGGTCGTCGGTTAAACCATCGAGCAGCATCAACCTCCGTAGTAGAGAGCCTCAGGTATGTGTGACATGTTCTTATTAACAATTAACAGTGTTCGTTCTTATTAACAATTAACAGTGTTCGTTCTTATTAACAATTAACAGTGTTCGTTCTTATTAACAATTAACAGTGTTCTTTCTTATTATCAATTAACGGTGTTCGTCCTTATTAACAATCAGCAGTGTTCGTTCTTATTAACAATTAACAGTGTTCGTTCTTATTAGCAATTAACATTAACAGTGTTCGTTCTTATTAACAATTGACAGTGTTCGTCCTTATCAACAATTAACAGTGTTCGTTCTTATTAACATTTAACAGTGTTCGTTCTTATTAACAATTAACAGTGTTCGTTCTTATTAACAATTAACAGTGTTCGTTCCTATTAATAATTAACAGTGTCCCTGTGTCTTTAACGGGCGAACGACCACACGCGCTGAGGATCTTTCAATGCCTCGATAGTACCAGGTGCCGTGATACCAACAGTATACAACACTTTTCCCAGCTATATCAGACTTCTATCGACGTGGTTCGACGACACCTTTTGTTGTGTCAATGGTAACCTCACGCCGCCAACTGTGCTGACTACCTCGCTCTCGAACCACACTCCCACAAACACACTCTTCTCGCAGCTGCGATGCACTCAGTCGCAGGACGGGCTGTGTGCTGTGTGTATTTGCAGTCGTCTCCATTACCCGCGAGACCCTCTTCTATATTTATTCATATGATAGCATGAGCACACTTACATTCTACAAACATATCATATGTATATTGATATCTGTCTGTATACACATACAATATCGCATAACAACGTCTTAACCCCAACATTCCCCCACCCTTGCAGGCTGGTACATTCGCGCCGGTCGCCCCAACCCAGCCCTCTCGCGTCGTTGTGGTGCACATAGACTGGACACACTGTGTGCTGCTGATGCTGGCCGTGCTGTTTACTGTGGTGAGCCTCGTCGCTCAGCTGGAAATGTCCCGTACCTGGAGTACAGCTGTGCCGTCTATGAGCTATTATACCATCAGAGCTGTCCACTTTGCGTCGGAATGGACCGGTGCTAATAGTCGGTGATAGGGCAACACTTCAGCGCCTATAGCCAGTTGTTGTATGATTGTTCCAACACTACCAGCACTACAACTCACAGGACACATGGCCATCGCATACAATCGCAGCAATGTTGAGATCATTTCATGCCCAACATAGTATCCTTGTAACCTCACAAGTACTCGTATGACCACAAGCGAATTTTATTCGTTATATCCCTCTGGTAATCCTGGATCAAGTAGGTGTAATATAGTGGAGTGCGTAAAAGCGCATGCTATTGAGAAGTAAAACGTAAAGACAGAGAAACAGTGGGAAGAAACCTCGACTTGCCCTAAATTGCATAACGTATGCGCTCCATTTCACTCTATCCCCCGTGTCGCTGTAGGTAAACATGCATATACGCATATGTACAAGAGAGACATAGTCTCAATAGAACATCCATGTCGAATTAACAGTCAAGTATCGTAATCCTGTGCCCCATGCTGGTTCACTTGGGTGGTGTGTCTACGGTAGAGGAGTGATCTAGGATGGCTAGTATGCATACTTACAAATACGTATTTAGAGTCTTTTAAATCAAGTGTTTAAAGCCGACCCAGCATCTGCACCCGGTTGCTAAACGACGAGAACCCAACATTCAAGGTAATTGTCAACTTCAAGCACGTGGCAATACTGAGTGTTGCAGTATGACCGCCCTGGAACACGCTGTTTTTCGAGTACATTATAGGAGCATACGTTCATATTACTCACTCGACGCAGTGTACCTTGACCCCTGGGGACAACGCAAACTGCTGTGTTCCTTATTACCTCGAATCTAACCTATACTACTCGAGCACCATTTCTACTACTCAAAACGACTATTACCGGGGTGGGAGCGAATGTATGCTAAAGATGCGAGTAACTGTTTGTATTAAAGTTGTACAAGCCCTCCGCTCTACGTACACTATAGTGAACTTGCTTGTTCAAATCCTCACCTTTCTAGCCTCTTAGAGATATTCCTGCGACTACATGCTTTGCTCTGCAACTAAGACATTCAGATGCACTTGCACATGCTACTGTGCCAAATGGGTGTGTTAACATAACTCGACAGTGGCAGAGATTGCTATCTGCGCATACGAGTGCCCTGGAATTGTCACTGAGTGGAGTGTACTTTGACGGGGAAGTGAGAACTGTTCACATAGTCACTGTCTGCTTTGCTGCATAGTCGTAAGACTGAAGCGTGTTACGAGCGGTCGGCAAAGGCCAAGTCCAGTTGAGATTATGTGGGCTCTACTCGAGTGTCTGTGGCCAGGTGTGACTGTAAAGCTTGTAAAGGGACTAAGTCCAGATGAGATAATGTGGGCTCTACTCGAGTGTCTGTGGCCAGGTGCGACTCTAAAGTTTGTAAAGGGACTACCGAGTACAGACTATGCAACCTGATCAGCGCGGATAACTGTATTGTTGATTAAATAAACGCTGTTCTTACTTGGTACTAATACACCATGTCCGAATTGGTCGCCTTGTCCATGTGCGCTTGCTGATTGTGTTGGTCCACACCATGCAGGTGTCGATGTGATGCGATGTCGCTTTTAGATGGGTGAAAGCGTCGAGACTTCAAGGTTTGAACATATGTACACACACATACCAGGATACTCGTAATGTCAATTCGCGGCACAATTTACTCTTTTATTTATTGGTGCTCTACTAGTTGTACATTTGCAGTCTTTCAATCTCAGTTGAATATAATGCACTTCACTCACGCAGGCGGGTACCCGCCGAACGCTCACAAACTATCTCGGCGCCACATGTATCGTCCTGTGATGACAGCTAATGGCGTTTCAATCCAACTACTAAATTAATCTAAACTTTCCGGGGATATTTGCCCCATTCCTTGACCCCCCTCCCCCCCCCCCAATAAAACACGGTCATGTACACTCTCTCAAACCATACCAGGCTGCTTGCGCTCCACGGTTTTACTGACATCGTTCCAACACAATGGCCACAGCCCATTGAGCATCACAGCCAGCAATCCAACACTATCCGCCATCACACTAACCCACAGAGGTAAGCGCATGAACGCCGCACAGCCAATCACCACCAGATTGATGGCCAAGGACAGTATGATGTTCATCAATACCAGTCGCTGTGTGCGTCTGGCTGTGATTATAGCGTAGGGTATCGTATCTAGAGACGAGTCTTGTATCACCCCCATGGCGGCGTCCGTGGTTGCTCTCGCACCCACTTCCTGCATTACTATACCCACATTTGCCGTCGCCAACGCAGGACAGTCGTTCAGTCCATCCCCCACAAAGCCCACTGTTAACCGTGAGTGTGGTTTGTGCTTGGCGCCATCTGGTGTACATATACTCCCATCCAATGTCGAGTTGTTACGTACCGGAAGTAATGGGGCGTTTTCATTGGCTGCCATATCCTCGTGCGAGTACAAAGCCGCGTCGTGATTGGCTGACGAAAACTCACTCAGGCGACACAACAGCGATGCTTTCGTCTCAGGTAGTAACCCAGAAAACACATCCACTTCGTCTATTCCCACGTGCTTGGCCACTTCTACAGCTGTGCTGTGCTTGTCGCCGGTCAGCATCACCGGCCGTATACCCATGTCTCGAAGTGTGCGTAGAACTCTCGGGGCATCGGGTCTTGCCTCATCGGACAGTAGCAGCGTGGCGGCTAACGACCCATCCACCGTCACGTACAAGCACGTGGTGCCTTTGGCTCCTTCCCCACGCAGCACTATCTCCGGAGGCACCTCTGTACCCGTAAGCTGGGCCACAAACTTTGCATTGCCCACCCCCACCACGTGCTCGCACACCGACCCACTCACTCCGTCGCGGCCGTGACGTTCGAAGTTCTGTACCTCGGGTAGGCCACCGTCCACCACACCCATGAAAGCCGTCAGACAGCCCGTGTAGCTCATGACCAGCGAACGCGCCAACGGGTGCGAGTCTCGGGCCTCCACCGCCGCCAGCCATCGGTGCACATCCGCCTTCTCCCATTTTTGGGTGGATGTGATACCGGCGCCATCCGCATTCGCACCGGCTAAACCAGGCGCAGCACCCGCGGCATTGGCGTCTGTTGTAGCCGCATCGACCAACTGCATGTCTACCAAGGTGAATTGGCCCATGGTGAGGGTGCCCGTCTTGTCAAAGGCAAACAGCCCGAGCCGAGCCAGGTCTTCCAGCGCACTCGAATGCTTCAACAGAAGGCCATTCTTCGCCAACAAAGTCAGCGCCGCACTCTGCACAAACGGCGCAGCCGCTACAAGAGAGCACGGGCACCCGGCTACCAGGATTACCAGGAATTTGTGAGGATCCTTGGTTACCAAGGCAACGATCGTGGCGATGAGGATCACTGTTGGCATATACCACACGACAAAACGTGAGACCAGCTCGTCGGTTTGGGATCGGGTGTCTGTGGTGGATTATAGTGGGAGATGTAAGTATTCAAAAAAAAAAATCTGTGACATTCACTTTGTATGGCAGACGTCTGTTACAGGATAGCTCGCAGAAGTGTGACGCATCAAGACATGATGAGTTTTTTTCTGGCTGAGGGGCGATTTCGATGGATTTACCATGGTCCTTGATTTTCAGTACATATAATCGGTGGGTATATAGAATGATGCGAGGTCGAAGCTTAATTATAAAGGTAGCTACGACGTATTAGAGTGCAAATAATATCAATGTCCTTGCACAAGAAAAGATAGATGCATGTAATAAAACCATGTGCTGGTTTGTGTGTTCGCTACTGGAAATAGTAGCAATGATCTCGATGCACACAAATAAGTATGCTTCAATATAGGAAGGGCGCATGCACATATGAGCGCTCAAAAGGAGCCCACTTATTTTATTAGATCTTTACACAAAGTGGTAAATATTCTTGTCTACAGAATTAAAGAATGACGAACCTCATTAATGGTACATGGAATGAAATAAACTGTACCCTCATTGTGCGCTAAATCAGCGACGGTTTAAATAAACAATAATTCATATTATATATATATATGTGTGTGTGTGTGTGGGTGTGTGTGTACGTATTGATGTTTATATTGAAATATACATTATATACTTGTAAAC